CGATGTCTTTTCATTCTCACGCAGCGTGCATGCATGAGTTGGCCAATCACGTCAAAAAGGAGTAGGACCATGCACAGATATCCCATCTCTTGAATGTAAGAACGGGGTGGAAATCATCACGCTCGTACCGGAGTGGAACGAAACATCGGGTGCACGATGTACACTACCCGAGAGGCCCTTCGAGAGTCATGCCGAGAAGTGGTCGCCGTCGTCATCGACGATGCCACCCCTAAACAGTGGGCAGAATGGGTTCGAATCCCGGTGCGTGCGGCTGCTATTAGGGGGATTGTGATGCACATACAGTGACAGAGGATGACGCCCACCGATCGACGTAGTCGAGGTGATATTTGCATAGAAGTGTACAGTAGACATTGTGGAGCCTGCGGCTTAATTTGACTCAACACGGGGAAACTTACCAGGTCCGGACATAGTGAGGATTGACAGATTGAGAGCTCTTTCTTGATTCTATGGGTGGTGGTGCATGGCCGTTCTTAGTTGGTGGAGTGATTTGTCTGGTTAAAGTTAACGAACGAGACCCCCGCCTGCAAAATAGTGTGGCTTACTACGCTTTTGCGTAGGTACTCGCTTCTTAGAGGGACTTCTGGTGACTAACCAGAGGAAGTTGGGGGCAATAACAGGTCTGTGATGCCCTTAGATGTCCTGGGCCGCACGCGCGCTACACTGATGCATGCAACGAGTTTTACTTTTCCTGGGTCGAGAGGCCCGGGTAATCTGTTGAACGTGCATCGTGATAGGGATAGATCATTGCAATTATTGATCTTGAACGAGGAATCCCTACTAAACGCGAGTCATCAGCTCGCATTGATCACGTCCCTGCCCTTTGTACACACCGCCCGTCGCACCTACCGATTGAATCATTCGGTGAGGATCTCGGATTTTGTTGCTTACGCTTCACGGCGTTTTCGACGAGAGAAGTCATCCAAACCTCATGATTTAGAGGAAGGTGAAGTCGTAACAAGGTTTCCGTAGGTGAACCTGCTGAAGGATCATTACCGAAGAAGTTTGCAAATCGAACCTCATAACCGTTGTCTGGTCTTTCGCCCACAACGCAAGCTCTTCTTCTCTACCGGGCACATTTCTTCAGGGGTCGTGTGCAGGCGGAATGGCTGCTTTGGATAGGTTATTCTGGATGGCGGGCTGGGGCCACTCGGGCTCCGGAGCGCTGGGTCTCTCTCTCTCTTCTTATCGTATCATATATATACTAAATATGTATAGTCTATGGTGTACATGAGGCAGACAGGCTGGAGCCACCTCGCAGGTTTTGGAGAAAACCTTCTCCGTAGGTCTTCGGAGCGCACCAGATCTTGCAGGTAGGTTCGCCGTAAGTGTCGTGCCGCGTACATCTTTAATATCTATACACTTCATCAGGTGTCCCGAAGCCACGCTGTCGGCTTTGGAGCGCTGAGGGAGGGGGGGATGAATGGAAGGGCTGGAAGCTGCTGCTTGCTTGCCGGATGGGTCTTGGGGAAGGGGACGCTCGGAGAGAGGGGGGATTGTGGGGGGCTTCAGAGAGCCGGACCTGATGGGGGGGAACACGTGAAATGACTTTGATATTATCGGTCGGGCGAGGGGCGTCTCGCCGAGATCAGCGCAATCAAACGCGCCGAGTCTCGAATCAAAGCGTACTTCTTTTTCTTACCCAAGTAACTTCTGAATCTGAACTCAAAAGGAGGCGCGCGCGCGCGTTTCGACGCGGACTGCGCGCCTCCTCAACCTTTTAACGTTGTAAAACTTTCAGCGACGGATGTCTTGGCTCCCACAACGAGGTAGAACGCAGAGACATGCGATACGTCTTGCGACTTGCAGAATCCAGTGAATCATCAAAACTTTNTTACCCAAGTAACTTCTGAATCTGAACTCAAAAAGAGGCGCGCGTCCCGACGCGGACTGCCCGCCTTTTCAACCTTTTAACGTTGTAAAACTTTCAGCGACGGATGTCTTGGCTCCCACAACGATGAAGAACGCAGCGAAATGCGATACGTCTTGCGACTTGCAGAATCCAGTGAATCATCAAAACTTTGAACGCATCTTGCGCTTCCGGGATATGCCTGGGAGCATGCTTGTCGGAATGTCTGTTGACACCACTCGCCTCCTTTCCTTTCCTTCTCCTACGGGGGGGGGGGGGTACTCATAGTCGTGCATGCCGTAGTCGTTAGACCATTGACCTCGCA